TTATTCATCTTGTGTAATTAAAACTTATGCCCACTGATTAGCAATTTCCCATTTCCCTCTCTCCCAACTCTCAGCCCTTGGTTACCATCATTGTATTCTCTGATTCTATGGGTTTGACTAATTTTGGTACTTCATCTAAGTGGAATCTTGTAGTATTTGTGCTTCTGTGGCTGGCTTATTTCATTTAGCGTAATGTCTTCAAGGTTCATCCATGTTGTCTCATGTTGCAGGATTCCCTTCTTTGTTAAGGCTGAATAATATTCTGTTGTATGTATATGCCACATTTTCTTAATCCACTTATCCATCAGTGGGCATGTAACTTGTTTCCACATCTTGGCTATTGTGAATAGTGCTGCAGTGTACAATGGGGTGCTAGTATCTCTTCAAAATCCTGATTTCAGTTCTTTTGGGTAAATACCCAGAAGTGGGATTGCTGGATCATATGGTAGTTCTATTTTTAATTTTTTAAGGAACCTCTGTACTGTTCTCCATAGTGAGGCTACATCATTTTGCATTCTCACCAACAGTGTACAAGGCTTCCAATTTCTCCACTTCCTCACCAACACTTAATGTCTTTTGGGTTTTTTATTTTATAATAGCCATCCTAACAGGTGTGAAGTGATATTTCATTCTGGTTTTGATTTACATTTCCCTGATAATTAGTGACATTGAGCATTTGTCGATATACTGTTGTACTATTGTTCATTTGTATGGAAAAATGTCTACTCAAGTCTTTAGCCCATTTTTAAATTGGGTAGTTAATCTTTTGCTATTGAGTTGTAGGAGTTTCTTACGTATTTTGAAAATTAACCCCTTATCAGCTATATGGTTTGCAGATATTTTCTCCCATTCCATAGGTTGCCTTTTTGCTCTGTTGATTGTTTCCCTTGGTGTGTAGAAGCTTTTTAGTTTAACGTAGTCCCACTTGTCTATTTTTGCTTTCGTTGCCTGTGCTTTTGGTGTTGTATCCATGAAATCATTGCCAAGACCAATGTTATGAAACATTCCCCACCCCACCCCACCCCCCGTTTTCTTCCAGGAGTTTTATAGTTTTAGGTCTTACGTTTAAATCTGTAACCTGTTTTAAATCTATTTTTGTGTATGGTATAAAACATGAGTCCAAAATTTATTATTTTGCACGTGGCTATCCAATTTTTCCAACACCATTTGTTAAAGAGACTATCTTTTCCTCACTGTGTATTCTTAGCACCCTTGTTAAAGATCAATTGACCGTATATGTGTGGATTTATTTCTGGGCTCTATTTTCTGTTCCATTGGTCTATAACATATACGTTTGTCTTTATGCCAGTACCATGCTGTTCTAATTACAATAGATTTGTAAAATACTTTGAAAGTAATGCCTCCAGCTTTGTTCTTCAAGATTGCTTGGCTTTTCAAGGTCTTTATGTTTCCATATGAATTACAGAATTTTGTTTTCTTCTGTAAAAAATGCCATTGGGATTTTCATAGCAATTGCATTAAATCTATAGATTGCTTTGAGTACTATGGACATTTTAGCAATATTAAGTCTTCTAGTCCATGAACACAAGATGACTTTCCATTTATTTATGTCATCTTTAATTTTTTCATCAATGTTTTATAGTTTTCAGTGTACAAGTTTTTAACCTTCTTACTTAAGTTTTTTCCTAAGTATTTTATTCTTTTTTATTGTTTTCTTAATTTCCTTTTTGGATAGTACATTGTTAGTTTATGGAAATGCAACTGGTTTTTATATGTTGATTGATTCATGTTCATTATTTCTAACAGGTTTTTTTTGTGTGTGGAATCTTTAGGCAGGGTTTTCTATGTATAAGATCATGTCATCTGCAAACAGAGATAATTATACTTCTTTCCTGCCAATTTGAATATGTTTTATTTCTTTTTCTTGCCTAATTGCTTTGGCTAGGATTTCCACTACT